TTGGAGAGGAGGGGGTGAGTAGTTGAGGATGTGTGTGTGGGGGAGGAGGGGGTGAGTAGTTGAGGATGTGTGTGTGGTGGGGAGGAGGGGGTGAGTAGGACGAGACGTGTGTGTGGGGGGGGGAGGGAGTGAGTAGGACAAGATGTTTGTGTATGTGGGAGGGGCGGGTGTGTAGGACAAGATGTTTGTCTGTCGGTTTAACTTTGTATGTCATGCGTACTTGGTATGTTGTGTCGGATGCAAGTTGTGTCATGTGCCCGACACATGTTGTACGTTGTGTTGGGTGAGTTTTATGTGATATGCCGGGTGTATTTTAATAATTTTTGGGAGCTTTTTGTATAAAGACTCTATTAATGCCTACCTCCACCTCCCCCACCCCAAAAAAACTAATGAACCAGCCCATCGACGAGAAAGTCCAGTGGCAGAAAGTTCTGTACAGGAAGATCGGCGACACCAAGCGCGTGGGTCAGACACAGAAGGAGGTCAAGGTCATCGAGAGGATCATCAGCATGGCCAAGGTCATGCACGGACTACATCTGGTGAGTTGTTCCTTTCTGCTCAGAACGTAGGTGTAACGTCTTGGTGTCAGGGTAACGGCATACAATCTGTTTGGTGGGGGAGAGATCATTCAACACTCAAGTCCAACTGTATGGGCTTTTTCTTTTCTTGGTAAGTGTTTTACGGCGCTGTCAACTGTATAAGGTCATATGAGCGCGCGAGACGCACCAAACATTTCCAGCTGGTGGGAACTTTGGAATTTAGCTCCGATGGGGGCCGAAGCCTACTCTGATCGATTTTAGACCACCTAGGGATCTCTAACGTGCGCAACATGCACCCGGGTCCTCCCGCGATTTTTTCACCCTTGTCCTAGTAAGCTAGGTGTAGATCTTTCCTACCAGAAGATCAGGTCAGGGGTGTGGCAGAAAGACAGCAGTAAGGAGGAGCCAACGAGAAGCAGTAGAAAGACTGCAGGAAGAGTCAGGAGCCCAGAGGAGGGGGCAAAGGAGGTGAGGGGGTGGGGGCAGAAAGAGGAGACGAAAGCAGACGACAGAACATTGCTAGAGCGCAGAAAAGGAGGTGAAAGGAGACAATTTTAGAAAAGAATTTTTTACGTCGCTCCCCGATTCGAACCCGGGACTTTTGAACGAGAGGCGAACACCTTAACCTCTGGCCACGAGAGCCCCCGTCCCACTGTTTAACACTCATTGTGTGCCCAGCGGAACAAGAGGGGCGAAACTCCACTTTTCCATAATGTGCTGAGAGAAATGAGATTTTCGATCTTCATGAAAACTGCTGCTTTGAGATCCCTTTTGGTCCTAAAAATCATCTCACTAGACTTATAGTCATAGCGTTCTTTAATGAAGAGATGTTGTAGTTGTCTATCTCATAGCGTTCTTTAATGAAGAGATGTTGTAGTTGTCTATCTCATAGCGTTCTTTAATGAAGAGATGTTGTAGTTGTCTATCTCATAG